TATTTTAATTTTGTGCATGCATGCTTTGGAAGAGAAATAGAATTAAAATAGAATGGGAGTTGAAGTCCACACATCCTAAACCTTAGGAAGATGTGTGGACTTCAACTCCCATTCTATTTTAATTTTGTGCATGCATGCTTTTGGTCTGGGTGACATCACTTAATGACAGAACTGCACAACTTGAAGCCTTCAGGTCCACCAAACGTTGCTACTGAATTTGTATTTTTAATATAACAGAATGGAAAGGTTATTCAACACTTGGAAAGTAATCATATTAACTGCACTCAGTGCACTTAGATGAGTTCAGCTTCAGGATTTATCCTGGCCTTGGCTGTTTTTTAATGCTACTCACTCAGCTCCTCAAAGGTTGTATGCTACTGATATAGGGCAGAGAAACCCATCACCGGCTAAAAAAAGCATGAAAGCTGCGTGTGCTTCTTATTCTGGGAATGGCCTCTCACTTCTCAAGAAGAGATCAGTCTGAAAGATGTTGCAACAAGATTGAGACTTCCAGGACAAACCTCCCATAGTTTGGGGAGAGGTAGTTGCCAAAGTCACACTATTTTGGGCTTGATCAGTGACAATCCTGGAGTGTTTAAGTAGCCCATCTTGACTTTTGGCTCACCCAGCACATTTCCTAAGGGGAAACACTTGGGAAGTTGGGCTGGGAGATCAGAACTCACACCAGAGAAATTACATATGCCTTCTTTCATCAGAAGCAAATACCAGGAAGTGAAGGATGGTTTCATGAGCAGAGGTCTTTGAGATGTCAGCCTGATTTCTGATGTTTGGGCTTTTTGCCATGACATCAGAGAAACGGGGAGGGATTATAATTCCATAGCTAAATTGCTTCTGGTGGGTGATGGAAGGGAAATTATTTATTTATTAGTATGGTTTATAGAGGTGCCCATTTCACTGTGGTTACTCTGGGCAGGGTATAAAGATAAAAATCACCATAACAACATATAATCCAAGTTGCCCTGGTTAAAACAACTCAAACACCAGCAGAGCTTGCATAACCTCCTGACCCAAATTCCTGTAGGAACAGACAGGTCTTCAGAGCCTTACAATGAACAGTCTAGCCCAGTGTTTTTCAACCTTAGGAATTTTAAGATGTCAACTTCAAGAGAACCTCAGGCACTTCATGTGTGGACTTCAACTCCCAGAATTCCCCAGCCAGATACGCTGGCTGGGGAATTCTGGGAATTGAAGTCCACACATCTTAAAAGTTCCCAAGGTTGAGAAACACTGGGCTGGCCCATTATAGCTGAAGTACCTGCTAAAGACACACAGGCATCTTCTCATATGCATATTGAATTCAGATATGTTAATATTTCTAACATAGCTCTTTTCCAGCCATTAAAAGTTCTATGCTGATTAATTTAACTGCCAGCAATGAAGCTCCTCCAATGTCATTTAACCCTGGCAACATTTTTTGGTGCTGATTCTTTCATAAACACCAACAAATTGATTTTTACCCTTTGATAGGAATTTTGGAGTATTGCCTGCTTTGCTGCCCAACCACTCTCCCTGATTGGGAGCGTAGGCATTTGAAATGCAGTAGGAAGAATATCCGTTTCCATTCTTGCTTTGCTGATTATTTGTTACAAGTTGGGAGTTTCATTCTTTCCCAAAAAAGACTGGTATTTGCTCAGATGAACCTGTTGGTGCCACATTAATATTAATATGCACTTCATGAGCTGGGTTATAACAGTGCATGCGCCTATGCACCACTGCAGATTCAATCTTTGTTTCATAGCTTGGCTTTCTCTGGGATTTCATTTTTGCATCAGTAAGATGATGAGAATTACAATTTTGCCCTGTTGAAACCAGGCATGACTCTGGTGGAGATATTCTCCTTTGCTAAGCTGCTAAAGAGAACTGCAACTTTATAGATCAGGCTAATTGCTTATTTTGTTAGCACGCAAAAGATGTAGACCAGTCTTTTTCTGTCTTACATAAGCCTGCTCCCTGTTCTGCTGTTACAGCTTAAATCTGTTTTATCTTAGGAAGGAAACTGGGTCTATTTATGCTTATTTCTATAGCAGCCTTCTCCCACCACCTAGAATCCTCAACGTGGTTTGACTTTGTGCTCCTGTAACTATCAGCCATCATGCCCCTTGGATGACTGGAAATTCGTGGAGCTGAGGACCAAAACATCTAGAGACAGGCTAGAGAAGGGCTGGTGATCATCTTGATCTCGACAAGATGGCTAGGCACTGGTTTCAATTGATATAAATACATCTAGTGACCATTGGGCTTTTCCATTCAAGAAATGTGCAGTCAAATGGACTCTTCTGTCCTTTGACTAGATATTTACAGCTCAGCCATAAATTACCCTTGGATATTAATATGCATCTGATTCATTAGCCTATATGTAAAATGGTAATGACGGCAAATTGGAAGTCAGTGCACTAAGTGAGGATTCCTAGTAGGTTTTTTATTACTGACAAGATGAAAACATGGATGAACTAGTAGAAAAACATAGGAGGACTAGAAACCAAAAGCTGTGTACCATATTGATGCTCATAAAGAGTGGAAGATGTACATCTGAAGATGGAATGCAGCTTAGATGCAGAGAAAACAGGTGAAGCTGGCTGCTGTAGAGTAGGGGATTTAGGTCCAGAGGCACACCTTTTTTCCATATTTAATACATCCAGACAATTGCTGAGGCATGTAGATGTAAGTTCCCTTGATGCTTTATTCGTGCCAGAACTTCTCTTTGCTTGGTGCAATCACAGGTTTGTCTGTATCACAATTTTGTGGTAGATTGAAAATGGCAAATAGTGCATGGATTTTGTGTGAACCTGGTGCATGTTCTAGGGCCTTGACTAGTCCAGTTTCTTCTCAGACAGCAGACAAGAGCTTCTGACTGTGTTGAGACTGGCTCTGCATGTGGGACAGATAGCTCTGTATGGTAGCAGTAATTTAACCAATCTAAGCTAATCTTCAGTTTGAGTTAATGTCATTCTGAAAACCCGTCTTAAGATTTCAGGCGGGGAAAAAAAGGAAGAAGCAAAAGAGAAATTATGTTACTGCATTGCCTGTCTCCTTGATTTTATATGCCAGTTCTTTAAAGTGAAGTATCCTACTGCTTTGTGCTTTGTTATACAGTATAAAAGCTGTATATTATATTATTGTAGAAAGTTCTCCAACCCAGTGCTTTCCATATATCGGACCAACTCCTATCGGTTAAATGGAGGAAAGACGCAAAGGCTTGTTTTGGTGCTGAACATAAAACTACCCCCCTTAAGATCCAGAAAAGGCTTAATAAGTAGATTTTCTGTTTGGGAACAGTTACGAATATTCCATTTGGATTCTTCCACTCCGCCTTATATGTAAGGATCTATTGCTATTGCTGCTACATAGTCACCAGTAACAACTCTTGCTTTATTATGGTCATCTCAGCAAATGGCACTTGTAATTTCTGATATGAAGGATTTTAGATATTTTAAAGCTCCAAATCTTCTTGTTCCCCTTTTATTCTCAGTTTTTATTTAAAGCTGCTTCATGTATTGCAGACTTTTTTTTTTTTTTTTGCTATACACACACATCATATGGATGTGTGGTAAAGCTTGGATCTAACCCTGAAGTAAGTGCATGTATCCATTCAACTTATACGTGATGGGGTTAGCTTTGACTACATACAGCACATCCATTAATCTATAACCTTTGCCATGATAATCCATGATATTCCAGTCTTGCTTCTCTAATTTAGCACCTTCTTCTAAAATTGAAATTCAAAATATATTATCCAAAGATGACTGATAGCAAACAATTATTTTTAATGCTGAAGATTAAACACTCAGTTCCTCATTGTGTGTCTGGTCAGAGAGAGGGAGACAGCATTGAGGCTACAGAAGCAGTAGAAGAAAATGTGCTTCCTGAGAACAGAGATGATAATGAGATGAATATACACTCTTCTTTTAGACTGATCAACAGAAGTTTTGAAATGCATTTGGTCCTCTACTTGTCAGGTGTACTATTACTCTCAAGCTTCCTGATTCTACAAGTATATGTTGATAATTAATTGTGCCATCCTGATTATATTCTGCTCTTTGCAGTGAAGTCAATCCCATTCTTCTCCTGCTGCCCTCTGTCTGTTGGAAGACATTATAAAATATTGCTCCCAAATGTTGAACATGATATCAATACTACTATAGTGACTGAAATGCCTATATTCAAGAAAGGTCAAAGGTTCTTGGTCCTTTTCCTATCATGATTCTTTTCCCTTCCAAATTCTGAGCAATACAAGATTTCTACTGGATTCATACAATTGCCAGCATGACCGATGATGACTTTTTCTTGCAACAGTTGTTGCTGTGCCCCATTTCATTTATTTATTATTTAATATATCTTATTCTGCTTCTATACCATTTCCCATTCTATTGCCTTACCATAAAAATGACCAAAATAAACTCAATAAGGGAAATGTAGAAACAGATTCATTGGAAAGGTGGAGGGTGGAGAAGAAAAACTAAACTGAAACTCTTCCAACACTCATACAGGAAGGAGAGAGGTCTTAAACAAATGCCTAAAAGATGGAACAGCAGGCACTTCACCAGTGTTAGGAGGAGACCGTACCAAAGTGCAGGCGACCACAGAGAAGGTTTGGCTGCAAATAACCAAAGAGCAGGACATCTCTGATGACCTCAGTGATCCATAAGTTTGTAATGGTGATGGGTGGTTTGTCCAAATGGTTTAGGGGTTTATATAGCAAAAGGAAAACCTTGAACCTGGTTTAATAGCTCCTTGGCAGCCAGTATTGCAGTTACTTCAGTTATGCGCATGGCTGGATGTCCCACTCAACAACTTGGCCGCTGCATTCTGCACCAGCTGCAGCTCCTGGACCAAGTCCAAAGAAAATACCCACATTTAAAATACTGATTTGCTGGCATAACTTCTGACAAAATTAGGATATTGTGATAATATTCTACCTCCTGGTGGGTTGAAGAGAAAGTCATCTCCTGTATTTTCCAAGTACTCTGTGAGGTCAGCTCCATAGTTTTGATTACGTTGGCTTAAAAACAAAAGGCATTGGATTGGATCCAGTGGTACTTGTCTGCTGATGAAATTACATTCACTGGTGGAATGGCTTCTTCCTTTCCCTTTTCCCTTCCAACGCAGCTCATATATCTGGTCCAGATGTGAAGGATTCTCCATAGCAAATTTGGATTGATCAGAAGGAAGTAGAACAAGGGAAAAACACCTTATATAATATTGGGATATAGCTTTAATATACAGATTGTCTGCATCTCTTTTTGGGTGTCTGAGGCTTTGCATCCTACTAGAGCTATAGCAGTGATGACGAACAAGCTGTAATTTCATCTGCTGCGCCAGGCATAATAAACTATAATGCATTCTGTTGTAGGTTCTTTCTTACATTTGGAGGCATTGCTATATAGGTAGGCCAGTAGTTCTAACATTCGTAGAAATATCAGGCATATAAGGACCACTCCTGCCCCATCTTTGTCCTTGACAAGAAACAACTCACCAATATTGTTTCTGTCAAAATGCATATTATCTGGGTCTGGGAGAGGCTGACTTGTGAAGTGTCAAGTTAGGACACATTCCACACTTCATGAACTATATGAATCACAAAGTTGGAAAAAAGAATAGGAAACCTTTGCAAGGCAGAATATTTAGGATTAAGGAGAGAGGTATGAAAAGAGTGTTTGTGTTTAACAAAACCCGAGCAATGTTGATTCTGGGGTCACTGAGTTGTACATTGTGGAAAATGATGTCATCTTGAGTCCATTTTCTATCCATGAGTTTCCATTCGTCCATTAGTGTGGTGACTGTGTGGTCCATTTCTTCCCTGTGTGTATGAGCAAAGTCCTCTGTGGTGCTGCTTCTGTGGTGCTGGTGCTGCTGCTTCACTTCCCCTTGGTGTCAAGACAGGGCCTCTGTCCCAAAGGCCTTGCTTTCTGTCTCAACACTTTTTTTCCCCCCTTTTCCCCTTCCCTCTCTTTCTCCCCATCCCTCCTCCTTCTTAATGCCTGTCTCTCTCGCCTTTTCCTCTTCTGTAAATTTCTGTAAGGTAAGCAAACTTTTTGTTGGGTTCTGCCCTTTGATAACTATCAATGGTGGTGATTGGATTTAATGTGGGACCAAGGGAGTTATAAGATTGGGATTCAGAAACAGTTGGAGTCATCTTATGCCACAAATGATGGTTCATCTGACATCAGTATCTTCACAGTAGATCCAATAATGGATTGTAACTTGGAGGGTTTCTTTTACTGCACACTAGACATCATACTATAAATATTACCTGGTTCTTGCCCAGATACAACACTATAGTCATCAACTGTTCTCTTCCCTAGAGGACTCTCATGGCATTGTTGATTCCCTGCAGTCCTCTTAACCAGATCCAAATAACTATGCTTCTGTTCACTTTAGACCTAACCCTTACCACACTTGCTCTTATCACCCTTCCTAATCCCACTCTCAGCCTTAATCCCACTCATGCATTTCATTTCAGCCCTTCCAGCTTTTTTTTTTTTTTTTTTTTTATCACTCTTGGGTCTCTCCTCAGCCAAATAATAACAACAAAAAGCAATTACAAAAACAAAAACAGACCATGCTGGAGTCATGCAATTTCCAAGGAATCCATATTATCTGAATGCTCTGCTCTATCCTGACATAAGACAGTATTCTAATCATTGAATGTTCAAGTATTATCAATATCTCATGTGGTATAGGAGTAAATGAGATTGTATTATATCATCTTTTATGTGGAAATTCCAGTTACAGAGAAAAAAGACTGATGCTAGGTGACAATCGTAACAGGTGGGAAAAATAAGTCAGCTTGCTTAATGTATTGTAATATAGTGACTTCAATGAAGGAGCAGGTATGACTTGTTTAGAAATCAGAATGTGAGCTCCAAGCCTTGGTTTGAAGATAAAATAGTTGCTAGGAGTAGAATTCTATAGCCTGGTTGTTGAGAGTCAGCTTGGGTTACAGCTCATGTTTAAGGATTTGGAAATTCAAAAGGAGAGAGCCAGTTTGGTGTAGTGGTTAAGGCATCAGGATAGAAACTGGGAGACAGTGAGTTCTAGTCCTGCCTTGGACATGAACCCAACTGGGTGACTTTGGACCAGTCACACTCTCTCAGACCTAGGAAGTAGACAATGGCAAACCACTTCCAAAAACGTTGCCGAGAAAACTGCAGAGACTAGTCCAGACAGTCACCAGTAGTCAACACTGACTCAAAGGTGCTGTACTTAGCCAAACTTAGCTGATCATGAAAAACTAAGTGGGGTTGGATCTGGCTTCTACCTGGATGGGAAACTACTGGGAAATACTAGGACCATGCAGCTAGATTACATGATGAAGATAATTATAGGGGCATGTCCATGAAGTCCCCAGGAGTCAAGGTGGTCTTAATGAAGATTTACCTAGTGTAAGAAAGATTGATACCCCTTGTATCAAATAGAGAAGAACTTGTATGCAATTCTGTTGAAGAGATCTAGCATTTTCATTGCAAAGCATCTACACAAATGTCAGTGTAACTGAAATGAGTATGTACTTAGGATGGGTCTAAGAGCCATTAGCATGAAAGAATTAATACTGAGGAGGCTGGACATTTTCTTCTGCAAGTTCAGCTAAAGGGTTGAAGGCATGCGTTGAGAATTTCTCCACAGAAGGATCCTGTCCCACTTTATTCAGAATACTGCTTTGTTAAACAGAACACTGCTCTACAGAGACTCCCTTGAAGGCATGCGTTGAGAATTTCTCCACAGAAGGATCCTGTCCCACTTTATTCAGAATACTGCTTTGTTAAACAGAACACTGCTCTACAGAGACTCCCTCCTTGTGATTGGGCACAGTTTGGACAAAGTAAGATGTGCCCGAACCAATGGCAGTTTGAGAAACAACAGTGACTAAAGTACCATTGAGCGGAGCTTCCACTTTTTAGTATTATTGCAGACCCATTACTGACCTCCCTGCATTTGGGAGGGTGCCCGTTTGCGGCACTTATTCATCTATACCTCTACTTCTGGCTTGGAGATATGTTGGAACTTTGCCCACACTCACTGTGCTTTGAGATTTGGCCATTGTTCTCAACTCGCCTTTTAGCAGTTTGATGGGGAAACAGCATCAGTGCAGCTGGTGTGAGGGTGGGTTTTTTTTTTTTTGGCTATTCAGACAGTCAGAGTATTTCTCAGGACACCAAGGGAGTTGCCACTAACATCTCCTCTTCCCTCCCTATGCAGCAGCTAAGAGTTTACTGAACAAGAAAGCGGACGGCGTGAAGGTAAATATCCTTCTGGGGTTTTGTGGAACGTTCCATGAAAGAGAAAACTAGGGAAAGATTCAGGCTTGTGCTGTCTTCACAGGAGAGATTATTCTGCTCCATGCCCATGATATTTTTCAGAAACTCAATTAACGAAATAGCTAAACTGTAGAGATTAAGAACTATTCCGTTCTCCACAAGTTAGAATCTTTTGGGTGGGGGTGAGGGGAGAGTCCAGTCTCTACCAGAACTTTGTCTGTACATAATTGCTAAGTAAAACATGAAGTGATGTGCCCTTTATGACTTCAAGGAGTGTTCATACAGATGATTTGAATGAAAAGTATATTGGGGTCATTCATTAATTCATGAGGATGTGTGTGTTTGCTGCAGCCTCAGACAAACAGCACCAAAGGCAGTGCCGGAGTTACCAGCCCGAAAGGAACCCTTCCTCCAGCCGCACTGGTACAGTTTCTCCTTCTATTTTTCTTTCTGTTCTTGTGCAAAAGATTTGGGGAACTGATTTTCCTATTGTTTTGCTACTGTCGTTCTTACTTGATGCTTGCTGATACAACTGCCCATGATTTAAGATGACTTCAACTCTGCATTCTGCCTCTAACTTGTTTGATACCTTTGTGAATCCATGAATTGTTTTGTGCTATTCTTGCTCCATTGTTGGGTGACAGTTCAGACATTCTTCATGGTGGATATTTTTATATATATATTTAACTCCTTAGGTAGTTCAAACCAGAATATATATATTTAACTCCTTAGGTAGTTCAAACCAGAATACCCCACCCAGTTGATCTTGCCAACCTAGAATCCAGTTCAACCTTAAATGTTTCTCTGAAAACAAGCAGTTTTTAATTTGCTTCCTGGGAACAAAATTCAGCCAAAGTGTATTCCGTATTGATTGTGATATCTCACGTTCTCACAATGCAGTACAAGGCACCAAGATAAGCATATTTGAATTGCAAATTAATGCTTTGCTTAAGTCCAAGCAGACAATCAAAAAAAAAAAAAGCAACCCCCCCCCCAAAAAAAAGGAAAAGAAACATCAAGACTTTTTTTTATTCTTGGTCAGAAACAACAAATAAGAGTGTCTTATATTTATTCCTTGTCTCATCAGCCATTCTGAGAAATAACAGATTCCAGTAGCTGTAGTTGTCACCTGAATTTTCCCCCCTCTAAACTCTTCTGGAATCCAGTCTGCCCTCTTGCTTTGGTATCACCCCTTGCTTGCTTTGTGCAAATTTAAGTTCCTAAGCCTGCTTTCCAGATGTGTTCAATCCAGAGGTCATGTTGGTTGCAGAAACTAAGTATCCATAACCTTAGAGTACCTTGAGATTTGGTGCTGGAACGAGACTTCAACAGGGCAAGTATGAGATCCGCTGGAGATACAAGCAACATGAAAACTTTTTGGACACTGCCCTAATTTAGTTCTAGTACACAGGTATGTTTCTAGCAGAAAATAAATTATAATTACAAATTATAAATCAAGTTTGTGAGTAATATATTAAGTAAGATTAGGAAAACTAAAGTTCATCATCAAAAGTGACAGCAATTCTGGGTTGGCTTACTGTTAAAACAGTTGTTTCTGAGTAGAAAAATCCAATAGTTCAAGACCACTTGTGACTTCAACATGCTTTTAAAAATTTAGATATAGATATTAGAAAGTAGATGTCTCCAATCTGGGTCCTTCCAAATGTGTTTGGGTGACATCCAGAAAGGTCCTGAATGGTACCTGGTTAAAAAAGGATAGAATCGTACAATCATGGAATATGAGGGTCAGAGAGGACCTTGGTGGCTGAATCCAACTCCTTCCCTGATGCAGGAACCCACATCCCCGACAGATGTCTATTCAGTCTTTGTTTAAATACTTCCAGCAAAGGGGAATTTACTCTGGAGGCAATACATTTCTTTGTTGAACAACCATTTGAAATTTTCCTAATGTCCAACTGAAATCTCTTTCTCTGCCATTTAAAACCACTGTTTCTTGTCCTGTGTTTTGGAACGGCTGTGATCAATTCTACCTTAAGTTCGGTATAGCGGAAGGTTCAAGCCTTCCATTTTAAATTTCTTAATTTTCTCTAAATATTTCATTCCACTGAGGGCCTATCTCAAGCTACCACAAGCCTAGCCATTTCCTCAGTTTTAAGAAAGTGCAAAAGAATATACATTATAAATGTTTAAAACTTCTGGAGCAATAATTCTAGGGTATAACTATATGGCATAATAAACATTGATTATTCTGCAGGGTCCCGTCTGTTTTCATGGGAGCTGCAGATTCTTGGTAAATTTTACTGTTATTTTTCTGTAATTATTGTAAATATATAGAGGAAAATGCTGTAAACAAGGTGTTATGGTAATACATATAGGAACTATTTAAACTAAGTTCATTTTGCCCCAAATGTCAACAAGTCAATGAATTGTCCTTCATTGTCAGATGAAGGAATTAGAATTGCTATAGAAGTTTTAAAGCTCTCAGAAGTTGTATTAGTAAGCCTTAAAGACACTTTTATTGTGGTATTTATTTTCAATGGGTTCATTGGCACATCAAACCTGGACTGATTTCTCCTTGCAGATTTATATCTATCCCATTTCATTTCTGTTCTTGATAGACAAATTATGCCTTAACCTTAAAGAAAGAATGGAAAAAGAAAGAGCAACAAAGCTAAAACCGCAGGTTGACCTTATAAGAAACAATTCTAATCAACTTAGTGTGAACTCTTTAAAGCAATAATCTGACTGCATTGCTGCTCTAAATAATTTTGTATGAAGCATGTTAGCCCAGATTAAGAAACTAAACAATAGTTTTTAAAAAATCAATGTAGTATGAACCTATTGAATAAGCCTCCCCCAAAAGGTGGCAAATGTGAGGTTCTTCAAATACCTTGGATGTCCTGCATTTGAACATAGGAACTGTGGCTTTTGGGTAGACCTCTTCTACCAAATAAATATTCATTTTTGAATAATCTGATGCTTTTCAGTCTTAATATCCAATTGCATTTGGGCTATCGAAGATGAAAACTCAATCTTCAAGGAACTGTATTCCTATGTATTTAGGATTATCATCAGTATACGAATGTGAAGCAGATCTCCATGGCTTCCAAATCATATCAAAATTGTAGTAAAATGGCCAGTCTGCATTGTGGGATGTACTAGATGGCAAATTAATTGAGAGAAATAGATTAGTATAATGTTTCTTTAAAACATGTTGTCACTTCTCTAGATCATAATTCAATATTGCCTGGAAAACTGCTTTCAAAAAAGTAAAGAATGGTAAGTTGGGAAGATAGAGGCATTTTAGAATATTTGCAAAAAAAGAAAAAGAAATTAACTGCCAACTCTTTTTAATTAGTGGCCTGGCTCATCTTGAAAATGTAAGCATAGCTAACAATGCCAGTAAAATGAACTGAGGTTCAGTCAGAGGACAATGATATTAAAGGTTACTCATTGCTTTGCTGACCAGGAAGATACCTTGAACTTTATGTTGCTTCTGAGGGGGAATAAAAATCTACAACTGGGACTTTAATTAATCTCCAAAGGGATGCAGTTCCAGAACATGATCAGCAGTTATAGGTAATCGCACTCTGTGATCTTTCCTTGTATGAATATGACATCAATTAGCTGATGAGGCTGATTTAAAGAGCCTGGGACATTTTTTTATTACAAGTTTTTCTTTGCCCACTAATTTTCAGTATAATAAGCATTAACATAGGTCAAGGGGTGGAGGCAGCAGGTTTACACTAAGTTGTATGGATCCAAAATAGCACAAAAGTAGAGTTGTCCAGGAGAGAATAGAACACATCTACATTACACATACACTAGAAAGGTAGCAGAGTGTTAAAAAAATGCATTAAATACATTGTTATAATTGATCAGAAGAACAAGGTCAAATTTCTATCTTATGGCAGAAGCTAGTTCTTTTCTTCTATGAGATCCATATTCAACATTTACAGCCCATTTATCTTAGTCAGCTTTCTTTGTCATTCTTTAATTTAAAACTAGGCTTTGAACTGATTATAATGATGAAAAATGTTATATATTCCACTTATTTGGCTCTTTTGTGAGCTTAAAAGAAGCACTTTGAAATGCTGTTGTGATATGATAAATGCTACTTTCAGAGTATGAGTTGGCACTGATTATTTCCCAACCTATGTCAATCTTTGGCCCTTCCTTTCAAAGGGAAAGTATTAATTGAATAAGATTGCAAATTTGTCAGCGGTCAACTTATATAGCTGATACTAGGAAAAGTTCTGGAGAATAGCTTAAAGCTTAATGGGACTCTGGAAGGGTTTTTCCCAGCAGTATAGCACCCTGGAAGATAATAAATGTATGGGAAAGGCTTGTAAGTTTCTTCAGTGTGGCAGGAACCACAGATTCCTTCTGTGATCAAGGGAACAAATATTTGCCTCTCCAAAGAAGCAGGATTGAAAACCGCCTTTGACTGAACAAAATGGATGTCTTTTCCAGCCCAATTCACCAATTGTCTATTAAGTGAGAGCTTGGCTTTGTTGAAGGCAAAGAGGCCAATCCTTCAGAGATTTCAATAGTTAGAGCCCTATGTGGCATATTAAATATTACAGAGCAGCTGGTGAATGCATCAATTCAGAGTGTGCCAGTGGGGGCAAGAAACACAGGGTTGGATCTTGAAAAGAGATGTAAAACCTAGGCTTTTGCCTCCATTCACTCCCGCTTCCCCTCCCCGGCAGATACTCCCACCCATCGTTCCAATCTCTTCAGATGGGAATTGACTTTCATCAGCAACCCTCAAACATAGCTTTGTTCAGTTCCTCTCAGTGCCAATCAAGATGCCTTGCTTTCATTGCCAGTACTGAATGGCCTCTTAAATGGGTAGTGCTGGTGCCCATGTCAATAGGTAATGCATGAGTATAGAAACCTGCCTTTTTATGAACTGATTCTTCAGGGTTCCCACCCCCCCTCCACCATAAAAAGGACTATTGAACTGCACCAAGCGTGCACAGTTGGGCCTCTAGTCTTTAAGCCCAACCACAAGATCCATTAGAGTAATTCATACTCTGCCGGAAATACTTAGCAAATTTGCATGAACTGGATTGTAGGTATCAGCCCCAGCAAAGATGTCTTGCTTTCACAATCATCTGAAAACGTCTGAACTGTGATCCATTTCTTTAGATTTTGCTCCAGCAGTTCCTTTCACAGCTGCTGCTGTTCTAAGACTCAACGCAGCATGAATGTATTTTAATTACTCTCCAAATTGCTAGTGAGCCTAGGATCAAGCACAAAAGTATCTTAACAAGCAGGAGCCAAGGAAGTTGTTTTAACAGGTCAGACTAATTGTTCACCTAACCTCGTATTGTTGTCAGCCTTCTCCAATCTGATCTCCTTCAGATACATTGGGACTGCAACATCCAGGGTGCCCAACCTGGCTGAAATGCATCAGCTTAGAGAAGGCAGCTGAACAGTGATTGGCAGGACTTTTTAAGGTTTCCAGCAAAGAAGAGTCCTTTCCATCACAGGCTACCTGACCATGTTAACTGGAGATTCCAAAGACTGAATTTGGAAGCTTCTGCAGCAAAGCCTGCATTATTTACTACTTAGTTATTTCAAAGCTTGATTAACATGCATATGTCTCTTCTCCTCCCCCATTTTATCCACACAACACCTTTGAGCATATTTAGCACCAGGGCATAAACTGGCCACACACTCACATTCACCATTGTTAAAGTAGGTAGAGATATATGTGTGGACAATTCTTAGACCAAATCAAATACAGTACAAACAGGTTTTCTGACCGTTTCTCAGCTTTGGAATGGTTTTTATTTTTCCAAGTTTTTCCCCACTTAAACTACCTGGCAGAAAGATGATACTTTAATAGTTATGTAAAGAAGAGACATGTCTCTCATTCTTACATGATAGCTATTCCTGCCAAATCCACTTTTCTACCCTGTCTACACAAAGCATAAGAGTCCTGTCTGTATCCATGCAAACTGAGCAAATGAGTTTAGTGCCCTAGCATTACCTGCTTCCAGGTAAGTACATCTTAAAGTGTTAGTGAAGCACTGAAAGTTTTTAAAGCAGCGTATGTTATGGAAGGTAAGTTCTCAGCTGCAAAGACCTTTGCTCAGCTATCTCCAGAATTACATTGGTTGGACTTTGGAATGGGGTTCTTTTCAGTACCCTATATCTCTTGTTAAGTCCTCTTTTGTGTACCAAGCACCTATGAGTGAAAGATCTAGACTATAGAATCACTATGGAACAGGGCCCATGGAGCAGGATAGAGATTGGTTCTTAATTTAAAAATTCAGAGCATGGCACAAGTCCAAGGAATGGGGTCAAAGGCCTTCTGCTCTTCTTTCGCTTCTTTTTTCCCTCCTTCCATCTCTAGTGGAACCTGCGTTGAGATGTTAACCGCCCAGGCAGGAGGTTTGGTTGCAGCTCACACCTGCCAGTTTCTTCTTTGTTCTCCCGGCCATGCTCCCTATTGCAGCAATTTCTTTGGCTCGCAGATGGATTGAACGTAGATAACAGCTTGCCCTCTCCATTTCCAAGGGAGTCACAGCAATCTTATCATGGGGTTTGAATATGATTTTTTGGTTTCATTCATGGAAAATCCAGTTTTGATTCTTCTCTTCCTGATTTATTCTGCCACTTTTTGTTTGTTAATCATTTGCCTTTTGCTGAACTAATTGCCTTTTGCTTTTTTCCCTTCCATTTTGTTCCCCTTCCCTGCTCTTATGTGGGTCTTGGTCTTTTTTTCCCCCCTTTCCCTCTTCATATTTTTTACCATCATTTTCTGCTCCATTTCCTCCTCCTCTTCCAATTATTGCCTCTTCTCCTTGTATATTTTTATTTCTTCCTCTTCTTCTTTGTTCTGTTCTTTGGTTCATCTTTCCTTCCTCTGTAGGAACCTCAAACCACCGTTATCCATAACCCAGTGGACAGCATTAAGGTACTGCTGCCTGTCTTTCCTTCTCCTCAGTTTGCCCTTTTTGTTATCTTGGATAAAAATTGACTTTCTCTGCTCCTTGCATTGCTGTGTAATTTCACCTCTGGGGACAGACCGTAGGCTCAGGTTGTGCATCCTCTGTATACCTGAAACCCTGTAACCTAGACTCCAGTCCTCTGGCCTATAACTAATGGCGGGGGAGGAGGGTTACCTTTCGAGGTGTACTGGAAAGCAAGAAATTACAACTGCAGCACTGTTTTTAAAAGGTCTGGCCTTCTTGAAAAATCATAAATATTAGCCTTTCCACTATTCAGGGAGAAGGGGGCAGCATTTCCATGACTCCCTTGCTGGTTGTTCCCTATGTTTTGCTTCAGATGTGTTAGGCTTATGAAGAGGCTGGCGAAGACGGTCCTGACTGAACAGTTTGAATTGAGGGGAAGAAGTTGACAGTCACTTGTCACCTGGAACTGTATCTTCTGGAGGATGGGATTGTCCTTAGAACCCGTTTTCTCCTGCTCTGGTCCCAGATGTGTTGGGACTGCTGGGAGCATAGTTTGGATTACTGCAGTCTCCACACACCTTGTGAACTTCAGAGGGGGAAGGCTGCCTCGCACCTGAGCTTTTTTGCTCTGGGGGATAGGATGGGGAAGAAAGCCTCAACTCTGACCCCAGAACTCCTTCATTCTGAAGTGAAAGAACGCAGCCAGGCAGACCAAAGAGGCTGGATTGGCTGAGGATCAGCATATTTGCTCCATGTCACAACCATTCATTGCTCGGACCCAGCCCTCACCTCCACCCAGACCTGCATTTTCTTAACCCATTCTTTGCTGCAGGGGCTTTACTTTTTTTGTCATGTTTATGCTACCTCTTCAAGCCCATTCACTCAGTACATCTGACATAGCATTAACTGGAGAACCAGTTGGGGGTTTCGGTTGGTTGGCCTTTTTCTTTTTTTTTAAAGTTAAGTCCAATAGAGGCTGGGCAAGGAAACTCTATTAGTGGCAACATCCCCAATTTTTTTGTTTGTTTGTTTCTTCTGGACAGAGTATTTCCTGGTTTAGAGGAATATTAAGTAAAAAAGGATGATGTTTTACTGATTACACAGCTTATTTTTTTTTTTAGAGGAAGTAAAACCATAAGCCTGAGGACTGGTATCAACAAATCACATTGTATTTGGATGAAGTATCTGAGGGTAACTGTGTTGAATGTGGGGGTCTGACTCCCAACTGGGCAGGAAAAGAAAGGCTACGAAGGCCTTCTGTTCGTATTAACAATTATTTCTAGAACATGTTCTTGTGTGCTGCATATGTTTGTGGGGGAAATCCTCTCATATTAGAAATGTAGCTTTTTCATCATGAGGGAAAGAAATCGTTTTCTTTGAGGTGTCACAGAAAACTGAATTATTTTAAAATATTATCATAATGTTAAATCTTATCTGCCTTTGTCAAATGAGAAAGGCGGCTTGCGCCCGAAAGTCTTGTGAGGATATCAGCAGCTTTGTGCTGCTTTTGTGGTATTTTTTTCCCCCCAGAAAGTGAAGTGGGATTAGCATTAAACTAAACAGGATTAGTGTGCACAGAAATTATGTCTCATGCCCTGTCTGGTTCTCCCTGACATCTAGCCAGATCCAAGAGCCTCGTATGTCAAAGATTTTTTAGAAAGACACCAGTTCTGGCAACCCCCCCCCACCTCCCATTTCCCACAGAAATTTTTGTTTATTTGGAAGAAAATATTAGGACATTCTTTAGATACACATGTGAGAAAAGCATAAGATGCAAAAACATATCCTTGTCCTTCAGCTAATGTAATTTTGACCTTAATTTGGAGGAACTAATACAGTGGTACCTCGGTTCACGAACTTAATTCGTTCCGCGACTCTGGTCGCAACCCGAATTCGTCGTGACCCGAATCAAATTTTCCCATAAGGTTCAAGGTAAATACGGTTAATCCGTTGTGACCCCTCCAAATTTGGTCGCGACCCGATTTTGGTCGCATCCCGAATCAGATTTCCCCATAAGGTTCAATGTAATTATGGTTAATCCGTTCTGAACCATATGTTGTTGTTGTTTTTTAAACCGCAAAAATATGACACAAAGTACAATACGAAGAGAGAGAACACTAACCTTGCTCGAGGCGACTTCTGGCGTGGAGGACAGGAAGGC